AGAAAGAATGAAAGGAAGGAAGGGAGGAATGCAGGCTGGAAACTTCCCAAATTTATTGAAAAACATTAGTCTATATATCCACTAAGGTCAACAAACTCCACACAGGATAAGCATGGAGATCCATAGACATCATAGTAAAAATGCTGATGGCCATTGACAAGGAGAAACTCTTGAATGCAGCAAGAGATAAACTACTCATCATTTACAAAAGAACCCCAATAAAATCAGCTTACTTATAACTGGAAATAAGGGAGACCAGAGACAGTGGGATAAGATGTTAAAAGTGCTCCAAGAAAAAAATCTGTCAACCAAGAATCCTATATTCAGCAAAGCTATCTTTCAAAAAATGAAGGCAAAATAAAGACATTCTCAGATAAACAAAAACTGAGAGAATTTGTTGATAGCAGACCCACATTACAAGACATACTAACAGAAGATCTTCAGGCTGAAAGCAAGTGGCCGCAGACAGTAACTCAAATCCACATGAACAAACAGCCCTGGTAGAGGTAATTATGTAATTATAAAACACAATGCAAATCCTATTTCCTCTCCTTTCTTTCTCTTAACTGATTTAGAAAGCAATTGTATAAAACAACATACATATAACGTAACGACCATAATATATAGAAATGTAGTATATTTGCCAACGACAACACAAAGGAGATGAGTGAGAACAATGCTGTATTGGAGAAATTACAAATACTAAACCAGTCTTGCACTCCTAGAAAAAATCCCACTTTGTCATCATGTATACCTTCTACAAACTTAATGAGAATAAACGTATATAAGCCAGCAACTAATTTTTAAATAATACTAAGGCCCCATTATCAGTTAAGTGTTCCAGTTTTAACTTCTGAAAAATTTCCTTCAAGATTGATGAGTCAAATATTTTGGAAAAAGGGTCTTCCCTGGTGGCGCAGTGGTTGAGAGTCCGCCTGCCGATGCAGGTGACGCGGGTTCGTGCCCCGGTCCGGGAAAATCCCACATGCTGCGGAGTGGCTGGGCCCGTGAGCCATGGTCGCTGAGGCTGGGCGTCCGGAGCCTGTGCTCCGCAACGGGAGAGGCCACAACAGTGAGAGGCCCGCGTACCGCAAAAAATATATATATATTTTGGAAAAAGAGGCATAAAATGTTTAACTAGTCCTATTGTATAATTACTACTCTGAAGTGGGCTGTGCCAATTTTCCAGGTTGTTTTAATAAGTAAGGGAGTGTAATTTATAAAAGCCAGAGTAAAATATAATTTCCCCAGTTGAGAGAGGTATGTTTCTGAAAGCATTCGGTAGGAACACAATTAGCTGAGGAATTTCAGTTGTTATAGGAAAAAAAAAATGTTTTAAGGAGAACCCTAAGAAGTCAGATTTTTCTTTTTCTTTTTTGGATTTGAGACTTTAAAATCCAAACTTGAAAATACCGGGGTTCCTTTCTTTTCTAGTTTATGCTTCCTCCCCCAGCTCTGCCCCACCCTCGCCAAAGGCAAAGCAAGGTTGTTACAGAAAAGTCAGAAAATCCAAGTAAGGCAAACAGGAATCTCTCTCTCTCTCTCTCTCTCCCTCCCTCCCTCCCTCTCTCACACACACACACACACACACACACACACACACACACACACACACTCCCAATACGGATGCAGGGGCAGAGACTGATCCGGGCTGTGTGGGTCACACCTGGGCACCTGCTGGCCACCCTGCGGTTTGCAACTGACCTTCTGTCCTTAACAACCCGCAAACAGGAAATCTCTGGATGGTTTCAAACCCCACTCCCCCACCCCGTCCCGCCATAAACACCACAGAACGGGAACAACTTGCTGGAAGTTAGAAGCTTGTTCAGAAGCAATCCAACTCAAAGAAAGTTTCTGTAGAAACGGACAAAAATAATCAAAGCCCCCGCCCAACTGAAGCTAGCCCACGGAAGAATAGACTCTCAGAAACCCCTGCCTTGAGCATACGCGTTTCCAACCCAATTGTCATCTTAGTCAAGCAGTTTTTAGATTAACGCTTTTCCGGGACTCTGACCTGGGAACGCCAGGGTTGGTAGCCCAGCCGCAGCGGCCAGGCCCTCTGAGAAGGCCCAGAGCCCCGCCCTCCCTTCCGGCCGGTGGGTCGGCCCGGCCGGCCTGAGCCAGGCTGAGGCGCTGGGGAGCACGGGCCTGGGCGCTGCCCCGGGAGAGCCCGTGAGTGCGCGGAATGGGGTGGGTGAGGAAGTGGGATCCCACGCACCGAAGGGCACGAAGAACCCGGGGATGCGAGTGGAGAGGTCCGGGCGATGGGGTCGCCGGAGGCTGCGGTGGAGGGAGGTGGTCGGCGCGTGTGTTCCTGGGCGTGGGGTGGGGAACTCAACCGGAGGGACGGGGCGGGAGGCGCGGCAGGTGCGTGGGCCCGGAGCTGGCACCCAGTCCTACAGGAGGCTGGGGAGGGGGGCCGCGCAGAGCTGGGGAGAGCGGGGACCCCCTGTCGGGGCTGGGGGCCGCACAGCCCTCGGGTGGGCTGCGCCCGGAAGTCAGCGTTTATGTTCACTAAAATGAAGGCTGCACGAAGTCAAAAGAGTGATAGTCTTTAGCTAGGAATAAATATGGCTTGCCAGTCCCTGCTTCCTAGAAACTTTTCAGGATCGCTCATTCTCACAGCTTCGGTAAGATGCTTGCAAATTTATTTTTCCTTTGTTAGACATAACAAGTATATGAAGAAAGGCAATTAAGAAAAAAAGCCTAGCCTCGTTCCCAATGTTTCATATTTTTCAGGTTTTAGAATTCTCAGTTAATCCCATCTCTTGAACCCTTTCATTCCCAGTCCCAGAGATGCAAAATATATACTAATGATTAAAAATATTGTGCAACCTTTAACCTATTAAACATAACTAAATATTTCCCAAGCTCTTCTCTGATAGAGATCTCCTGTTATAATTTAGTGTCACAGTAGTACTTCTGGTCCAGATTTTGTGTCTTCATCTCAGTGCCACCCCTCTAACAGAAACAGGAGTGGAGTTCTTTGCCTCTGGTTTTCTCATGCTTAAGGTTGCATCCAAAACTTCTCATTTTCCTTTGTCATTCACTTTACTCTCCCAAATCTCCAGTTTCCTCTTTATAAGAATGGCTTAAGAACTACATTCACATAAACCAAAATTCTAACAGCTACAGAGATGATGTACCAATCAAATTTTAGTTGTAGGAAAGGTAGGTAAACATGTTTATCAATTAGCTTACTGAGATCCACAGTACTTCAAAACTATCCAGGTATCCAAGAACCTGGCTGAATTTAAAGAGAACATTCTAAAATCAAAAGTACCTTCATAATTTAAGTAAATAAGAAAACTGTAAAACTCTTACATTAAGTCAAATTCAATAAATAAAAATTGGGCACTTACTACAAACTAAGGCATTATTCGATATTGATATACTGAAAGACATGAAAAACATTGATATAGTTTTTCTATAGCAATGCAAATTAATTTTACTACTAGAAGAATAATTCTGTACTTTAAAAAAATACTTTTTAATCCAAAGATTATCCATCTATCTAATCTACAAATCATTTATTTAACTTGGGAGAAAATGCTTAATCAAGAAAATTACAATAAATCACAGTGGGTTTAAAATAGAAACCACACCTACCACTCTGACTGATGCTTTTCAACTCTTATCTCTTTAGACCTGTGAGAAAATTTCCATGATGTTCATACTTCCCTAAGGAGTTTTAAATGTCACTCAGTGAAAAGTTATAAAGGAATCATTTACGAATTAGATGGAATAATATGCATGATTAGCTGAATTCTCTGGTATTTTCAAGCATTTTCCACTTGCAACTAAAGTATATGGTTATTCCCAACAATTTTACTCTTAGGTATATATATACCCAAGAGAATTGAAAAATTATGTACACAAAAACTTGTACAAAAATGTTCATAGTGGCATTATTCATAATAGCCAAAAAGTGGAAATAACCTAAATGCCCATCAACTAATGAATGGATAAACAGAAGGTGGTATATCATACAATGGAATATTATTCTGCCATAAAGGAACAAAGTACTGATACATGATGCAACATGGATGTACCCTGAAAACATTATGCTAAGTGAAAAAAGAAAAAAAAAAAAAAGAGCCAAACATTGTTTGATGCCATTTATAGGAAATGTCCAGAATAGATAAATCCATAGGGACAGAAAGTAGATTAGTGTTTGCCAGGGGCTGGAGGAATGTGAAGTGGGTGCTAATGGTTATTCAGTTTCTTTCTGGGGTGATAAAAATGTTCTGGAATTAGAAAGTGGTTGCACAACTCTGTGAATATACTAAAACCACTGGATTGTACACTTTAAAAGGGTAAACTTTTTAGCAGGTGAATTATATCTCAATAAAGTGTTAAAGTATGTGGTGATTAAAACCTATGTGTTGAATTTCTAAAAGAGACAATATTCTGCTGAAAGGTGATAGGGCTCAATATACCTTATATACCAAGCATCCTGAAAATCACTTTTGAACCAAAAACATTGGTTCAACATATCATTCTCACTATAGCTATAAAACAGAAAACAGAATAATTTTTTTTTTTTTTTTTTTTGCGGTACGCGAGCCTCTCACTGTTGTGGCCTCTCTCGCTGTGGAGCGCAGGCTCAGCGGCCGTGGCTCACTGGCCCAGCCGCTCTGCGGCATGTGGGATTCTCCCGGACCGGGGCACGAACCCGTGTCCCCTGCATCAGCAGGCGGACTCTCAACCACTGCGCCACCAGGGAAGCCCCAGAATAAGTTTTTAAACGTAAATATATTTTAAAAATTAAAACACCTAAGAATGCAATCTATACATATGAAAAAGTAAAATATTTATATGCATAACAAGTAGTAGCAACATCATTCATAAGCAGCAGTTAGTGTTTATTTTCCCCATAATTTGGTTTAACACCATAGTGGTAGTTTATTCTTTTTAGGGAAATTGCATATGGTACATATAGCATATTATGAGCAAGTTATAGAAGGCTGTGTAATTGGAAAATTAATTCCAAGTAGCAATATTTCCTCTAAAAACACATTTATTATCAAACAAATTATTTTTAACTAGTGGACAATAAAATGTACCTATAATTTATTAAGTCCAAGATATATAGTCAACTTGCATAAAATTATGTATGGCATTTTAAAAACAACCTATTTCTAAAATATCAGTAATTCAGGCCAATTGGGATTTCCACAGGAGATAAATTGACATTAATATCCTTTTTATGAAGAAAAGGTCTCCCTTAAGAACATTACAACTATGTTATTAAGAAATGCTACAACATACTTTAAAAATCAAAATGGTGAAACATATGTATTAGGATATTCTTTTATGGGTACCAGCCCTATAGCAGCATTTCATATGGTGACTTTAATCTAGTTAACTAGATTTCCAAGTGACTTGGGTTTTTATTTTCTAGAAATACCTATCACATGTATAGTTTTGTTAAGAATTTAAATTTCCATCATAAGTGAGAACCTATCATACTGATAATGTAAAGATATAAGAAATAAAGTACTTGGATATCCTAGTACTTTATTAGAAATATATCTACTAACTCCACAGAAAAAAGTTTTACATGTAAGCAAAATACTAAAATTTTCTGATTTGGGAGAAATGAAATAAAATACAGTGAATGGTTTTCTCTTCTTCTCTAACTGTAAAAATCCCTTTTGCCTTTTTATTTGACCCGTCTATTCATGCAGTTTAATGAACCCTCGAAATAATTTACATGTCTTTATACAGAATTCACATCTACATCAGTAAATGGCCAGTCCTTTTATATTTTCAGTGCCTTATCAAAATATGGGTAACAAAGTTTTTCATTCTATGAGGCAGGAAGATGTTTCCTAAGTACTTCTTTGGATGATGAGGATATAGTATCTGGGAAGGACACCTCAAATTCTATTAGAAGGTCACCACGTTGCTCAGGATTTTTTGGAAACGGTAGCCCATATCCGATAATTCTTCGCCTCATTCCAGGTTTCACAATATCATTTATTGTCATAGGTATGGTTCTTCCATCCATTGTTGGCACATTAAATGAGCAGCCACACAATGCCTAAAATGGACCAAATAAAATTAACAAATTTCAAAACGTAAAAGTCTAATCAAAAATATTACCAGCTGTAAAGGACGATACCTCTAAGGCAAATTTTTAACCTCCAAAAGAATATCAATAATTATAAGACTTTTTCCACATTAGAAAGTCCCTTCAGGACACATATAATCAGACATTTTACAAAAGAAGGAAAGGAGAAGGGGAAGGAAAAGAAAAGGAAAAACGGAGGAAAGAATGTTTTTCACATTGACCTGGAATGAAATGGATTGTTTGAGGCTGCTATTACAACATTCAAGATGCAGGGGTGGAATGGGAGAAGAGAAGAGGGAGAAATTCAGGACTAGAAAGAATAAGATAGGAGCAACTACAAACTTCTCTGGAGGGAAAATGTTAGGACAAGAAATATACTTAATGTTTTAGTCAATAAATATTTACTGAGTACCTACTATATGCCATATATTCCTGTTAGAGGCTGAGCACATAGGGACCATGCACACAGACCCCACCTCAAGGAACGCACAAAGAATTCAGAAGCAAACTAGTAATTATACTACAGTATAAAGTTGGCATAGAAGTATGTGCAGAAGTCTTTTGTGAGAGAAAGGGCACCCAACCTACCCCCTTAGCTTCAGGGGGTAAGTTTGGGGTAAGCATTGGACCAGTAGCAGGTGTTGAGGTAGAGTGAGGAACAGCAGTGTTCCATAGAGTACAGCTCAGACAATGACACAGAGGTATACAAGATAATAATACATCAAACTTAGGGAAATGCATATACATTGAGGGTTAGAAATCAGATTAAAAACAACCTTTTATTTTAAGATAAAGAGTTTAGACATTATGGTAGATGCTATGTGGAGTCATTTAAGAATTTTAAGCAGGGAACTGATACGGCCTTATTTGCAGGATTACAATCCAATTTGAGAAATAGTGCCTAAAAATAGAACAAACACGAACTAATGTATTAAAGCAGTACCCTCATAAATTATTTTGTCTTTTAATACTTTTTTTGTTATATAATTATTAACCCAAGTTAACAATTTTGGAAAAATTCTATACATGGACTAAGGTGATGAGATTACAGTGCAGACCTCATAAACCATACTTGTAAAAAACAGAGTAGAGTTAATCCAGACTAGGCCTCATAGTATATAATTCACTTAAAATTGTGATTTAAATTGTTAGTATAAATAACTAAACTTAGAAAGTATAATCTTATCCATAAATGAGGTATAATAGTGGTACTACCTCAGAAGGTTCTTATGATAATTTTAAAAGTAATGTGTAGTAAACATAAAATTAATGTTAGCTATTATTTAGATAAATGCCCTAAGATCACATACATAATTCTGTTTGGTTTCAGAATCCTATGTCCTACCAACTTACCTCTCGTAAACTAATTCTAGCAGTATAAATTATATTTGATCCATCCCTTTTGAATTTTGGGTGATCTTTATCTTTAATGACAAAAACAATGTCTGCTGGAATACTAGTTGGTGTTTCATCTCCTTCCCTTGGAAAAGTAATTTTGGTACCTTCTTTCCACCCTTTTTTTATCTCGATGGTAAGAATTTTGTCCTCTGTTCGATAACTCCTTCCATCAGGGTTTAACCTTTTTCGAGAAATCTTCATCCGTTTGGTACAACCACTATATATTTCTTCAAGTGATACTCTAAGTTCATGAATAACTGGAGGATCTTGTTTGAGGCGGGATGGCCCCACAGAATTCCTGTCTCTTGGATATCCATTCATGCTGAATCCAAAGGCGCTAAAAGGATCTCCATCTACTTCCATTTCATCAGAATCTCTACCACCACCCATCCGTCTTCCAAAGAAAATTTCAAAGGGGTTGGAACCTCCGAAAAATGCTGCAAATGTGGCATGAGGATCGCCATGAAAGGTGTACCGGAAGGTACCTCCTTGTCCATCAGTACCTCCTGCCCCTCCTTTCAACCCTAAATGAAGAGATAAGCATGATTAGAAAAATGCTTACAACTCTTGAAAGTTAAACTTTCAACAACTGTATTACTAATAAACTTTGGCTAACTTAGGTTGCTATTTATTAATATTGGCCAGAAATGCCATTATAACTGAATACAGAACAGCTACATAACTTCCAATCATTCCACCCTAAGTTAAATTTTTATCTTTCAAATTCTTCTTCCAAACCCCATCTTTTTTTTTTAAACTGGTTTGTTTGTTTTTTTAAAAAACTTCATTTTTTAAAAATTAATTTATTTTATTTTTATTTATTTTTGGCTGCGTTGGGTCTTTGTTGCTGCAGGTGGGCCCTCTCTAGTTGCGGCGAGCAGGGGCTATTTTTCATTGCGCTGGCTTCTCTTGTTGCGGAGCATGGACTTCAGAGCGCAGACTCAGTAGTTGTGGCGCACGGGCTTAGTTGCTCCGCGGCACGTGGGACCCTCCCGAACCAGGGCTCGAACCCGTGTCCCCTGCACTGGCAGGCGGATTCTTAACCGCTGCGCCACCAGGGAAGCCCCAAACCCCATCTTTAATGATAAATTATTCCTGAGTCTTTGTTCCACAGGTAAAAAGAAAATAAATAAAAATCGGGAACCTCTTATCTCATAAGCTACTGGATTGATAACCTAAAGTATATAAATTTAAGTTTTTAAAAGATGTCGTTCAAGGGGTGGGGGAGGGAAGAATTGGGAATTCGGGATTAGCAGATGCAAACTAGTATATATAGGATGGATAAACAACAAGGTCCTACTGTATAGCACAGGGAACTGTATTCAATATCCTGTGATAAGCCATAATGGAAAAGAATATAAAAAAGAATATATATATATAACTGAATTACTTTGCTGTATAGCAGAAATTAACACAACATTGTAAATCAACTATACTTCAATAAAATAGAAAAATAATAATAAAAAATAAAAGATGTCAATTGAAAGGTCTTCAGGAATCAATGCAAAATACGTAACCTAAATCTTTGAGTACCATTATAATCAGTGAGCACAAATCAATAATATAAAATACCGTATTTATACTAACTATCTGTATTTCAGATCACCTTTCACTGTTTAAGAATTAAATAGAACTCATTTGTGGCAGAAAGGGAAAAAATTCTAATAACAGAAAACCCTATGAAAAAAAATTTTAGACACTAAAATTGTTATCCTATCCTAGATAACGAAATTCTTTATCTAGGCATACCACGTGATAGCATTAATTTCAACAGCATGTGAAAAGACTGAAATCATGAGCTGTGAACTCTTTTGACATGTAGGGCCTTTGGGCTGGCTATTTCTGTCTATTATGGTCAACCTGCTTCAGACCCCAAGATAGTGACCCTTTGATCCTCTTTTTTAAGCTCAACTAAGTAATAAGTAGCTCACAAGAGATTACATATTTGAAGTAGCATTTTCTACTACATACTGAAGGAAGATTCTACTGAAACCCACAGAACAACAGTATAGTGATCTTTTAAGGGATCAATACTGACAAGGATTTATATCATTACAGTATCAGCAAAGTTTCTGAATAAGCCTTACGGGCATTCCTGACCAAGGAAACAAGCAGGAAAAGAATATAAAAATTATGAAACTGTAAAGAAAAAGTCAAGCGAATTAAACTAAGAGATTCCAATATATTCAAGCAGTGACCAATTTGAGGGCAAGAAATACATTTTATTCATTTTTGCATTGCTCATGCATACAGGTCTGAAAATGAGAGGCGCTCATGTTTATTTATTTATTTAAATTTATTTATTTATTTTTGGCTGTGTTGGGTCTTCGTTTCTGTGTGAGGGCTTTCTCTAGTTGCGGCGAATGGGGGCCACTCTTCATCGGGTGTGCGGGCCTCTCACTATCGCGGCCTCTCTTGTTGTGGAGCACAGGCTCCAGATGCGCAGGCTCAGTAGTTGTGGCTCACGGGCCCAGTTGCTGCGTGGCATGTGGGATCCTCGCAGACCAGGGCTCGAACCCATGCCCCCCACATTGGCAGGCAGACTCTCAACCACTGCGCCACCAGGGAAGCCCCGCTCATGTTCATTGAATAAAGGGAATGAACTAATTCTTAAAGCCTCCAAAATTAAACTTTAAAGTGTATTTTGAGTGTCAAGATATTTGAGAAAAGGCAGAAGCAAAAACAACATAAAGTATAATCACACATACACATATATGAGAAATTTAATAATAAAAAATTCTACTGAAGTCACTCAGCGTGATTTCACAGAGCTTTACGTGTCTTATTCTATTTGGCAACTTCCACTAAAAGGTATACATATACTCTACTTCATCCAACAGTGTCAGATGATGTTTAAATTTTTACCTTCATCCGTGAATAGAAATCTGGAGACACAAAAAGAAATCTAACAATTTGAAAATTGTCAATATATGTATTGGATGATATATCCAAATAGCACTCACGGATATGCCTTGTAGAACCAGAATGACAAGTACAAGCAGGACAAGAACTTTTAACACACAGCTCATCCAAAACTTCTTTTTATAAATTTTAGTGGTATAGTTATAACTCCAAATGTTAAAAAAAGCTAATGGCAGATTTTAAAAAAATGATATATATATATATCATATAACTCAAGGTCATTACCAATGTGATTAAACCAATGCTAAATTATTTCAATCACTTCATCTTTCATCCCACAAATAGAGTATAATAATTTAACAGAGTTAATAAAGTAAATTGAGTGAATTAGCCTGCCCAATCTAACCCTCTACAAGACAAAATCTAAATGTTTTGGACCTATAATGGATTCATGAAAAGAAAGAACAACATTTTAAGTTATTACATCATGGGTTTGGCTTTTCTCTAAAAGCCCTTCCTTCCTCTGCCAAAAATGGTAACTCAATCAGGATTACAGAGTCCCTGAGAAGATTCACACACTGTCTGAAGTGACGTTTATCAAAGCTAACAGCCAACAATGCAGCTTTGACACTAAACAGTCAACTACGTATCCTCTATGACTGAGAAAAATCCTACCAAAATTCACACCAATACAACATGAATTATTATGCAAGTATCACTTGCATTGCCTGGCACTTGAATTGTAACAAGCCTGTCATCAACTACAGAGTCAACTCTTTACTACATACATCCTGACTGCTCATGGAAAATTTTAATATTCAGCTAGATTCCCTCTGCTATCCAAAATTTTTTCTAGACATCATCATCACTTGTGTGAGCAAGAAATGCACCCCAGAGTCAACATTTACGTATGCTGTACCGACAGCTATTATTTAAAAAACAACCAATCAACCAATTTGCAATCCAGAAACAATTATGTGTCTGGGAGACTATCCATAACAATGATATCCGTTAGTTAGTTGATTAAAAGTTTATCAAAAGCAGCAGCATTGGAGAAGAATTAGGATTTCAAAGAAAAAAAATTATAGGACTTTAAAAACTTTCTTTAAGGAGATCTAATATGTGAGAACCCAGATTTATAAAAAATACTTACAGAGTTAACTAGCATAATGAAATTCTTTAGACAGCTTTGATTCATAAAAATACAATTTACTCATTTAAAAAAATATATAGTAAATAAATTCAGTTGATTAACTATATGAAGAACAGAAGTTGCAAGCTAGTATAAAGATTAATATACTAAACACAAATTTGATCATATAAATACTACCTTTCAATATTTAAGTTATTGAGTAAAACATAAACAATAAAAAAAGAAGGCATAAGGAAAAAGAAATGTTAGAAAACTAGACTACTATGAAAATGTGTTATTGAAAATCTTTTTTTTTTTTAAAGTCTTTTAATATAAACTTCTGTTGACATCACGGAACAATTCAGAACTAAACCTAAAACTTTACGGGAGAGACTGGATCAAAATCCAATTTTCAATTTCTGTAGTTCTATGTTTTTTGTTTCAAATGATTCAACTATGGAGAAACGTCTCTATATGGAAAAATAGTTTTATTTATTACATACAATAAAATTAACCCATTGTAAATATACAGTAGTTTTAGTGAAGTTGTAGAATTGTGCAACCATCACTACAATCCAGTTATAAAACATTTCCATCAACCCAAAGAGTTCTTTCATTTCTATTCATAGTTAATCCCTGCTCCCACCTCTAGCCCTAGGCAACCACTGATCTGCTATCTTTCTCTATAAATCTGCCTTATCCATGCATTTCATATAAATGGAGTAACAGAATATGTAGTCATTTACATCTGACTTTTTTAGCATAGTTCATGAGGTTATTCCATGTTTTATTAAATCAGTCCTTTTAATTGCTAAGTAGTATTTGTGTGTGTGTGTGTGTATATACATATACAACACACTTTATCCATTCACTAAAAGATGATACTTTCGGATTTTTTCATTTGGGGCCATCACAAATGGTGCTGCTGTGAACACTCACGTACATGTCTTTCTATGGACCTGTATTTTCATTTCTCTTTTACAGATTCCTAGGAGTGGAAATGCTGGGTCATATGATACTTTCAAAACATCTCTATTTTTATTCAACCTTTAAAAAACTCAGAATTTAAAATTGTGGATATTAGAGGGGCTTCCCTGGTGGCTCACTGGTTAGGAGTCCGCATGCCAATGCAGGGGACACGGGTTCAACGTCTGGTCCGGGAATATCCCACATGCTGCGGAGCAACTAAGCCCGTGCGTCACAAATACTGAGCCTGTGCCCTGGAGCCCAAGAGCCACAACCACTGAGCCCGTGTGCCGCAACTACTGAAGCCCGCACGCCTAGAGCTGGTGCTCCGCAACAAGAGAAGCGACCACAGTGAGAAGCCTGAGCACCGCAACGAAGAGGAGCCCCTGCTCTCCGCAACTAGAGAAAGCCCGCGAGCACCAACAAAGACCCAACGCAACCAAATAAATGAATTAAACAAACAAACAAACAAACAAAAACCACAACCAAGTAGATATAAAAAAAAAATTGTGGATATTAGAGATTTTCAAAACACAAATATACTGGGATCACTGGTTCTGGTAGGTCCTAAATATATAAATTAGCATGTTCAACTCATACAATTCTCAGTTCACGGTTCCTTATTTCCACAGTCTCAGGCCTTGCAAAAGAATGCAATAATTGGGGGAAAAAAGTATATCAGGTAAATTAGTAATGGCCCCACAGTCCTAAAATTATTGTTATGTTACTTCTAGAGAAACACATAGGGCTATGGAACCAGGCCTGCCGGCACAAACAGATCAATGACAGGCAAAGACAAAAAGTATTTTCCCACATTTTAACAGTATACGTAACGAGGTATTTTAAATAAAGGATAAGTAAATATAATGCTTTTCTGTAAAGGAAGATAATTTCTAAAACATAATCGAATAACTTTCATTTAACTGTATTTTAAAGTAACATAACTAGAGAATTATATTTCTGAATAATATATTTCAATGCTTTAAAAAACTTATTCTTCCCTATTACCTCTATTGCTTATATCAATTACCTGAGTCAAGAACAAAAAAAGATTTGGGGTACACAGATGATCCTGTTTTAGTCTTTTTAAAATTCACTCACTGGTGATGCTCAGTAAAAATCAAACTGGAGAAATATCACCCAAGAAAAACACTATTAAGAGGTAATATTAAGCCAAGAAAAATGTATCATTTGGTGACTTGAAAATTCTGCAAATATCCTTAGTAAACACTGAATCTTATGGTTTAGTTATAGACAGATTTGAGCTATTTGTGAGATGGGGATTAAATCAGTGGATATTTGCTTTTTCATGGGAATTTATTGTGTTACTCCATGTTTGTAGATTTCTTTACAAAATTACAAAATAACTTCTTCAGAAAGAGTAGTATATGGTTAGTAGTATCTCAGAATCCTGCTTAGGTTTTGAGAAGAACCAAATCATAGTATTTTGAGTAGTATGGCCATAAGGAACCAACAGGATTGAACTGCCCACTATTTGCTTTTTCCAGTATTTACTTTGTAAGAACCTGATACTGCAGGTCCTCATCACACCAAAACTGGCAGCAGAAACTGCAATTTGGGGCAACTCAGATCAAAAACAAAGAACAACAACAAAAAACCCTCTACACAATCACCCTGCTTATCTAAATTTAATGTTTTAACTCAAAATAAGCAGTTGCTACTTCACTATACTTTAGGATATATTTCTAATTAGGAAAATTTAACATTAAATGCAATAAAGGAAGCAAAAAACCCGAGAAAAGTTTTCATAACTACAATGATTTAAAAAAAAACATCTGGGGAGAAAAATTAGTAATAAAACAACTTAGTCCTGATATAAAACGTTGAAAATCCCAGAACCTGTAGAAATTAAAGTGTTGTTGTTAAATTAGCGATTTAAAATAGTCTTACTTTATAGCTACATTTATATGGAGATGATGGATAAACACTTTAAAATCCAGAATGATAAAAGGATAATCTTCAATTATTCCCATTTACTGTATTCAACTAGTTTCTGATCTCACAATCCAAGAAACAAAAGTGTGGCAAGGAGAGGAAAGGGAAGTTATCATGCCTTCCTCTATACCTAGATAGTAAAATTTTAAAAGAAATAATGTTACCTTAAAGTAAATCAATAATTGTTCTAACTAGGTGGCCATTTTAGGTCAAAAAATTATATTTCTGAGATCTCATTTTCTTGGCACACAATTACTGTTTACAATTAAGCTAAAAACTTGTTCTGGTATTTTATGACATCAGGAAAATTCTTTCCTCTCCAGGCAGAATGCCAAAAACAACTACAGCTAAATGCCTGGGCCTTCGGCTTCTCAGAGAGACGATTCTGTCCTGTTTAATTTAAACTAGCTTTGCCATAAGAAAGGCAAAAAACTTCTTTTGTTTTTGTGAATAAAATATAAACTACCCAGAATTTGAACTGCCAATCTTAAGATTTTAAATGACTAAAGGATCTTTATTGGTTCTGACAGAAAATTCTTTAGAAAACAAAACAGGTTGCATAAGACTTTTGACACAATTTCTTAATGAGTATGGGAATTTAAGGTTTCTTTTCAAACATAATGTTAACATTATAAATCTAATGGTAGAATATACATATTACAAAATGTCAAAATTCATAAAAAGGCAAACAAATACATTTCATTCATAGCTATATAACATTCATTCATATGATCAGAGATGAAATCTTGTTTTCATCCATTATTTGTCTTTCTACTTTTGAAATGTCAGAGAATTTAATTTAATAACCAGAAGGCTGAGAGAGAAAAAAGAGAGACAGAGCTGGAGAAACAGAAAGATGTACACTGAATACTTACCTTCCTCCCCAAACTGATCATATATTTCTCTCTTTTTAGGATCACTCAATACTTCATAAGCTTCTGCGACCTCTTTAAATTTTTCCTCTGCCTGAGGAGATTTGTTCTTGTCCGGATGAAATCTGAGGGCTTGTTTTCGGTAAGCCTTTTTAATATCTTCATCTGAAGCTCCTTTTTCAATTCCCAAAATGCAATAATAGTCTTTCCCCATTTCGAATGCCTTGAAATGAACTTAGATTCCCTTTGTGAAAGAAAACAGCGTCCCCAGTCTTAGCAATACAATGATTCTACGAAAAATAAACCAAGCTGGGTATTTTAAAAGTTAAAGCAAATCAGCAATTCTGCTTTGCTGTCTTAAGGCAGCAAGCAGACAGTGTCTCTGTATTTAATGCCTTCCCCAACAGCTCACTTACAGATAAATATACACTACACAGGAGACAGCCTCCTTCTAGATCCTCCCATTTTCACTACGTGTCTCTGTACTTTCTAGAACAGCAAATGCTACAGGACGTCACTTCCCCAGCTGCCTCTAGTCAAAGTATTGAGCTAGGTTTTCTCCTCCTCCACGATTAACTATTCATTTTCCTTCTGGCTCTACCATTTTTATGTCCTTTTTAAGAGGCCAAGTGGATTAAGAAACCAATATTTCAGCACAGAATGTCCTAACTACACATTTATTTACTCCATTCTAGGTAAAAAAGCAACAAAAAAATCATTATAGCCATTAAGTATCTTACCATTAAAATAAGTTAAAGTTATTATACAAATAAAAATACTTATTTTAGGTATATTAATTTCAACTTCAAGTTATTCAAATGTAAGATATACAATACTAAAATATGGTTTGTTTAAATTAAAATTGTCAAATAATTTGTGTCATTTTCAAAATTCCTAGGGTCTATCAATCAGAAATGCCAGGAATTTGGCACTGTAAAAGTCTACATGTCATAAATATCAAAAGCAAGGTTTTAAAGTCAGTAAAGGACTTAAATATGACTTTAGCTGATGATTTTAACTTTTTTTTTTTGTAGTATACAAGAGTTAATAGTTCAGGCAAACTAATAACTTCTGAAAGCTTCATATCTGATTTTAGTTACTTCAACTAAAACAGAATGAGATCTGCCCTCCCCACTCCTAGGGTCACTATTTAAAGAATTTTTGTCCTGCTTCAGGAATGATAGGAGAAAGTATCAGGTTACAGACAGTAAAAACTCATGTTTCTTTTAAGACTTTAACTGGATCAGCTTAAAATCTGGATATGCTATTTATGAGGCATAATATGAGAGATATTTTTTCTTTTACAAACACACTTTCCCGGGCTTCCCTGGTGGTGCAGTGGTTGAGAGTCCGCCTGCCGATGCAGGGGACACGGGTTCGTGCCCCGGTCCGGGAAGATCCCACATGCCGCGGAGCGGCTGGACCCGTGAGCCATGGCCGCTGAGCCTGCGCGTCCGGAGTCTGTGCTCCGCAACGGGAGAGGCCACAACAGTGAGAGGCCCGCATACCGCAAAAAAACAAAAAAAACAAACAAAAAAACCCTCACAGTTTCCCTAATTATAAATATAAATGCTAACTGAAGATTTTGGAAAACACAGAAAGAAAAAAGAATAAAATAAAAACCTTCCTGGGCTTCCCTGGTGGCGCAGTGGTTAAGAACCTGCCTACCAATGCAGGGGACACGGGTTTGAGCCCTGGTCCAGGAAAACCCCACATGCAGCAGAGCAGCTAAGCCCGTGTGCCACAACTACTGAGCCTGCGCTCTATAGCCCGCGAGCCACAGCTACTGAGCCCGTATGCCACAACTACTGAAGCCTGCGTGCCTAGAGCCCGTGTTCTGCAACAAGAGAAGCCACCACATTGAGAAGCCCGTGCATCGCAATGAGGAGTAGCCCCCACTTGCCACAACTAGAGAAAGCCTGAGCGCAGCAACGAAGACCCAGCACAGCCAAAAATAAATAAATAAATAAATAACAAAACAAAACCTTCCTATCATACCACTTTAGGTAATCCCTGCTAAATGTTAGTGTGACATAAAAAAATGTCAAAAGAATTGTACAGAGCACTGTATTGAATATCTTAAGTCTGTAAAATTAAAAGAAAACAGAACAGTTATGAGAAAAAGTAAATGTACCTGTATGTTTAGAGTATAAAGAAAGGGTGATGATCACGTTAACCTTTAAAAATATGGGAACACCTACTCTATACACCAATCAGCCTTACATTAATGATTCAGCAATTCTTTCATAATGTTCCTCTTTGTCCATTTTGACAGCTAGGATTTACTATTTCTCAAAACTCTAGAAACACCTTGGTATAGAAAGGTATCGTATTTATCTAGCCTACTTACAGGTTACAGAGGTTTGCCAGCTATTCAGCAAATATTTTTAGTCCTACCAAGGAATAGTCAATGTCAAAAGATAAACTTTCAAATCCAGAAAACTTAAGGAAAAATGCTAATATCCAAAGTCACCTTAAGACGACTGCTTTTTAAAAAAGCATATTGCAAGTTGGAATCCAGTGCAATGATCAGCATTGAGAGTAGAGTAAAAATATAATAAAAATCATCTATTCTAGAATTAATTTCCAAGAGAGTTCCTTTAAATATTTATTACCAAAGAACACTGGTATAGTAATATGAAAATTCTGAATTGTTCTGGTGGGTAATGCTGGGAACTAAAAAAAAACAGATTCTTATCTGATTCAATCATTTTCAGAGAGCTAGAAACATTATCAGGACTTGACATATTAACTGATTTCAGAACCCAAAGGCTAGATCTTTCACATTTCTGAAAAATGCATTACATGTTAACAAATGGAAAGAAATCTGGCTCTTCACACATAGAGAATGGTGATAAAGGATTTTCATATTTTTTCAAATATCATAAGCACACAAAGGGATTATAGTAGTAGTGTTGAGATGCAAGAATTCCCCTCAACTTGGAAATTCCAAGTTAATAAGGAAGAAATTATAATTTTAAGACTTTAAATAGTAAAATAATCTAGCTAGGCTTTGGTAAAATAATCTAGCTAGTTTTGGTAAAATGAGCAGTGTAAATAACTCTTTCAAACATTTAGGAATGGTTATTTAAATGATTTTAGAAGCACTGTAAATATCATACCTGGAAATTTCTTAGGAAATAATTCAAAGAAAAAATTATATATACAAATATACCCATTGCAATTACACGCAATAGGGTAATGGATCAATGTGGTCATTATTACACTCCATAGTACTTGAGAGACATTTTACTCTTACATACACTTAAAAGTTGAAAATCCATTACACAATCACTTTACATTCAATCTTCTTCATCCAAGTTTGTTTGAGATGAGATGAATGTGGGTTGTTTTTTTGGGGGGGATGGGGGGCGCAAGAGCAATTGTCACCCCTGTAAATAATTATCATGACAAAAATAGTGTAAAGCAAGGAGTAATGGCAGCCTGTAGGGAAAATGGAGCAGAGATGTAAGCAAAGCTCATCTAATAAGTGTGCTTTTAAAAGTAAAAATAAAAACAAAACCAAAAAAATTACATAATAAGTCTATGTGAAACAGTTTAAAAATCACATAAATCAGTGCTTATTTAATTTTATAGGTATGTGTATGTGTGGCAGAAAATTTGAAGAGAACAAAAACTAACAAGTTAGGAACACCCTTTTTTTTTTCTTTAATTTCTTTAAGGCTGCTATATTTTTAACAAGGATATGAAATTAGTGTTTGTATTTTTTAATTTTTATTACTCAAACATAGATGAGATTATTCCATGAAAACACAATTCTCTTCCCTTTATTAAAAGAAAATTACAAAGAGTGAGATTCTTCTTTTTAATGCTTACAGTTTACAAGGTCAAGTTCTCATGCTGGGGTAGAGGTGGTTCATCTCTAACTGAGGGACAAGTTACAAAAGTTACAATGTATTTTAAAGAAATGATTTTAATTTTTTCAATAAAATCATAAAACTTAAGTATGTTTATTATTTTGTTTATAAAAGTTAATAGCAACAAAACTTTTGTGCTTAATAATATATTTGAGGGAAGTGTATCACTCTCTTTTAGGGAGTCGAGGGCCAGAATTAAGTAAATATTCTAATGACATTACATTTTATTTTTAATAACTTTAATAAAACGTCCTTATTTGGGATATTATGCTTTAATAAGTACAGAGAAATTATTTTTACAGAAGTATGTGTCCTTTCTGATTTTATCACCACGGTTTAAATATTAAACATGTTTAGAGAATGAGAGCTAAAGATAATAGTATTTTAACTACAAAAAAAACCCCTGGGGCTTCCTTGGTGGCGCAGTGGTTGAGAGTCTGCCTGCCGATGCAGGGGACACGGGTTCGTGCCCCGGTCTGGGAGGATCCCACATGCCGCGGAGCGGCTGGGCCCGTGAGCCATGGCCGCTGAGCCTGCACGTCCGGAGCCGGTGCTCCGCAACGGGAGAGGCCACAACAGTGAGACGCCCGCGTACCGCAAAAAAAAACCCCAACAAACCCTGGAAGTATATAACTAGTCATTCAACTGATACCATCTTCACCTTCTACTTTGGCTTTATTCACAGACAATAAAAAAGTAAGTTTTATTTCTTCAATTCACAAATCATTTCTCAATTTACAAGAAAATTAGTACAGAGAAAGACAGTAAGCCTTCTAGAGTCTCAGAAGAAATTACTATTAAAATTTAGATCATCACTGCAATACTTGAATACAAATGATTTCTAATAGTTTACCGATGTTCCTGCTGAAAACTTTTTCTGTCAATATTTAGTTAACTCGGTACATTCAGAACTGAAATTTCTCATTTAGTATTAATATTAGTAACTTATGACTTCCATTCCCTGATACTTCTTATCCAAGAATAAGCAAACTGAGGCTCTTTTATACCTTGTTAACAGTGCTTGAGATATTTGAATAGTGGTTATAAAATCTGCTAAGGTTTATCAGGGAATATTGACAGTGTAGTAGGTAAAAGCACAGACTTTGGAGACAGACTGCCTGTATTAGAATCCTGGCAACACCACTTACTAGTTGTGTGGCCTTGGACTTAACCGTTCTGTGCCTCAGTTTCCTTATCTGTCCAATGGGATTAACATTAACACCTACTTTGCAGGGCTGTTATGAGGATTAAATGAGATAAATGTGTGATGCACTTAAATGTGGATAGTGCAATCCATGCAAGTTTTAGCTACTGTAATGATAACAATGATTTCATCATATGAACTAGAAGAATTTTTTCCTGGAAA